GCTTTAGGATGTTCTTACACAGTACATTGCTGTTAAATATTTCTTGAGACTAATATTAAAGATGATAACTGTCCTTTCTGGGAAGGAGAAAAAGGATAATTAATACAGGCTTTAGCTGCTGCTGCTGCCACTGCAATGTAAGACTTGTTCCCTGAAAACAAACGCATGGGGGTGGAAGTGGGCTGGGACCACCAAAAAATGGAAAATGCAAATTGTATTCCTTATGCTGATTTTTACCAGCTGAGAATAATAGACATTTTAAAATGTGGTTTTAAAAGACATTCTAAGATTTGGCATATTTCTAATAGCATTAGGCTGTGAAAGATACTGCTTTAGCTTTGATTTTAACTGTTGAGTTACAGTACCATCAGAAGAGAAACAAGTATTCCCTGACAGTAGTTAAACCGAGGGCAAAAAACAAGCAGTAGAAAAGAAAAAAAAAGAAATATGGAAACAGGAGTGTGGAAATATTGTGGTAACAGAGGAAGAATGTAAATCTCATGTTCCAAGTGATGCTCAAGTTACAAATAAGCATTAGATGTCTGATTATGTTATCTATTTTGATGGATGTCAACACCCTGACCTGGATCCCAGCACTATTTCCATTACTGAAGCCCAGAGACCCAAGAAATTATTGAAATGAGAGTTCTGGCATACTGGTTTTAGTCTGTTGATTTTGAGCTCCACAGTTATGTTGTTTAGCAATCACAAACAATGCAGTACAGAGTTGAATAAATTGGCTTTGCTGACTGGACTGTTTTTAGCTTTTATATCTTTAAAAAGAAGGTGTCTTTATGTATCTATAAGTTTTTTGTCTCAAACAACCAATACAATTGGCTTCTATACAATAAATAACCAAGAATCTTTGAAATAGTAGTTTTAGTGGTTGAAAGCTGAAACTCAAGCACTATTTCCTGATAAAAGATAACAGGAACATAGAATTTCTGGTAAGTAATTATCTTGCGTAGACATTTTCAGTATAAAGACTTAAGAGTCGTGAGCAAGGTTTTCTTTAATGACTCAGTATGATTATTACCACCAGTGCTATCATTTGAGATTCTCTAGATTCTCTCTGTTGCACTTAATTACTTTACCTTGAAATCAAATGTAGCTTTATGTTGCAGTTTATTGATTAGTAGATATAGTTCATATACAAAGCTCATAATTTCTTTCATGCTTTTCTGAAGCAGATCAGTGGAAAAAACCTACACAGGTGCACAAAGATATCATTATCCTCAAATTTTTTCCACTAAATGCCCTCTAATATCATGCTGCTTCTACCATTGCATTTGTGTGATATCATGCCCTCACAGCAGGGATTACTTATGCGTGTTTTGCTTGAGTTACTCCCCACACACTTGTCCAAAGTTTGGTAGGAATCTGTTGTCCATCATCAACAGAAATAAGCTTGCAAGTCTGAGACTGCAAGCACTGTTAAATGAAATTTGTCCAGAAGGAGAATTTTTAAATAAGTAAAGTAGATTAGCTCAAGTTATCCTTTTTTGAGGTATTATCCAGGAAACAGTTAAATTGCTAGGAGTTTGATCAATGACAGTAAAAATTGCTGTTCATCTTGTAATAGAAAACAATTAGCTGCTGAGCTAGTCAGAACTAGCGTTTTCATTTATAAGGAAACAAGATTCAGAATATTCTCTCCTTTCTTCACCTCTCCCACCATACTGACCATATAAGTCTGAGGGAAATAAGTTTCATGTAATTTTATGAAAATGTAGGTGGTGTAGAACAGCCCTGGTAGTGTTCTTGGTGGGAGTGTGAGATATGAACACACGTATAAGGGGTGAATGCACACCCTTACTGGTGTGCGTTAATGAATACACACAGATCAACCTTTAGATATGACTCTATGGGGAAAATAAGCTCCATCAGCTGTTTTTTTTTATTTCATGATTCTTCAGGGTAAAAATTGAAACCCTAGAGATAGGTGCAGAGTGTTGTGACTAAATCATGATGCAATTTATATGGAAGGAGGTACCTGTGTGACTGAAGAGGAGTGTGACTGTGGAGTCCTGCATGAGTGAGCATATCGTGCACTTCAGTGCAAAATGTAGGTACTGATTTGATTTAGGTGTCCCTAAGGATAAAGGGCACTGAAAAGTTGGCTTCATCAGTGACTGTCTGCACTGCATGTCTAAGTCATGTCTGAGCTGCCAAAGAAAATGGTTTTGCTCTTCCAAACAGTCTTCTATTACTATGTGTATTCACCATAAACTTTATTTTAACCTATTTTTTCCGAGAAGATCATACAGATGGTATCTTTAGGTATTTTTTTAATGCCTCATAGTATCTATATAAGCTTTTCCAGGTAAGAGTGCTCAAATAGTCATTCCATTAGTGTAGAGTGGAAAACATGAATGGATTAGGGAAACATAACTGATTATAGAGGAGTAGCACTTCAATGAACATTTACTATGGAGTGTCAAGATCATAGCAAAATTATAAAATTTAGCCCTTTGTGGAAACTGTAGGTGTTTTTCAGAAATGTTACTACAAGGTGTGTTTTGAGAGAGAGAAACTTCACACATCACTATGTACTGTTTAGAAATTTCTGGTATGTGTCATTTCTCTCTGAGTTATTGCTCATATTCGTATTTATACTTTGATTCACAAATGGTGCAGGATTCATATGATGGAACACATTATATATTATAATTTCTTCCCAACTGTCCGGTGATAGGGGAGAACCTTGACAATGGATTTTAGTTCAACAGATAACTTTTTCCCTTACCTTTCTTTCTCTTCTGCTTTTAGGTTTATTTGCTTTAGTTCAGTTTTTACTGATTTTATTTTATATCTATTTCCGAGGTCCTTGATTCCTTTGGCTCATTAAGCTCCAGCATCTGTGCTGTGCCCTAGGGAATAAAGACTCTCCTTTTCACCAATTCCCAAAGCTAGGTTTTGGTTAGTTGTTTTTCTTTGAATGCTCGAGTTATGTTGAACTCAAATGTAGTTAACTCAAGAGTTGCACCTCTTCTTGGTACTGCAGAAGTTTATTACCTTGGAGTACCCAAGTACCAGAATTATTTCTCATAATAGTGTTGGTACTGACTTCTTAATGGGAGAAAGGCAATATTTACTCCTGATTGATTTATTTTACTAGCTAAGGAAACTGGCACATGCTGTGGCTCAGTATAGGCACAAAGGGACCCAGCTGTCCATCTGTACGGTTAGCACAGTTGCTCACTAATATTCAGGAAATGATATTTTCTTCTTGAGGCTCCTCTCATGCTATCAAATTCTTCCTTCAGTACCTATGTACATCTTGGACCTTGTACTTGTTCTACAAGTAGCTGTTGAGACAGTGGGGGCAGGTTCAGACCTTCTTCTACATCTGATAGGAAGACAGTAAAAAGTGTTTTGTTTCCTCCATGAGGATCAACAAAATTCATGTAATTTTTTTGGGTGTATTGTACTGGGCTGGCTTACCTCATATGTCATGCATTTCCACTGTGAATAGTAGTGACTGTGAATATCAAGACTTCACCCAGGGCACTGAGTTCTTCCTATAATCATTTGACTCCATTTTCCCTGGTGGTCACAGCTATGACCGGGGAGGAAAAGCAGCTCCGGAATAGTTCTCAAAAGGGAAGTCCTAGGTAGTTTGAATGTCTACTAAACATCTAGTAAGTATCCCTCCTTCAGCTACATCGGGCTAATGATCAAGCTCTTTTAAAATAAAACAGAGAATTCTTAGCATTGAAGTATTTTATCAATAATATCTAATGTATAGTTGTGATTCTAGTCTGGCTAATAAATGACTTTTTTTTCTTATTTGTCTTAGGCTGGAGCAAAGACAGTGTAGTGTGTATGGTATGGGACACTGCCACAGAAATGTTCTTTATGTATTATTCCTTATCTGTAGAATAGGGACACTAAAACTCAATCATTCTGTTAGAAATTAAAAGCAGTATTTTAATATTAGGATTAAAAAATGGAAAATAAACTTTTATTATGTATAGGTTACCACTTAGTATTACCTTAGTTCTAATTAAAACTTCAATGAAAGTATACCATGATCCTTGAGGCATGTTCAGAGCTGCTTAGTATTAAAGAAGGACTTTAAGCATGGTGTGAATATTAGCAGGTAATTATTCTGATGTGATGTGGGAGCTTATTGACCATTGATTTTTGTATACTTGGTTACAGAGGGAAGACTGCTGACAAAAGATAGCTATTCACATAAACATGGGAGGGAAAAGCAAAAAGAAGGGTCATGAATTTGGGACCTGAAAGATTGACTTGAAATGAGACTCAGTCAGGCATTGGCAGTGAACAGACCACTATGGAGGGATTTAGTTTAGCATGCCACTGAGCCTAAAAAGGAAGACAGTGGAGCAGGATGATGATAATGATGTTTCCATGATTCCCCTGCAGTTCAAATTTCAGGAGCTTTTCAAGATTCCTGTTTTTTGCTTCTACAATATTCTTCTTGTGGACTATGAGCAGAGTATTAACGGAGCCTTCATTCAAATGGCTTCAAGGCTTTCTTTTTGTTTTCTTTTGTCAAAAGTAACAGTTCTAATTACATTAGATATTTTACTAAATGTCTGCAATGTTTGTTTGACTTTCTTTTATTAGACATTTGAAACCAATGAAATTTTGCCATTTTTTCTACTGGTCGGGATATCACCTTATATAGGAAAGGGATATTGTTAATAATTTTGCATATCTCTTTCAGATACAAAGTTGCTTTAAAATGTAATGGATATTCTCAAACTACCATTATTTAAGGTGTCAATAATCTTTAGAGGAAATCTCCCTAATGAATCATTCAGACCACTGGTTTGTTAATTCTACAGAATATAAAATAAATGTGTTAGAGAAATTGCTTCAAAAAGGCTTTTAATTGGAATATTAATATTTTTTTAAACACAGGTGTATGTATTGCATTTAGGTTATAGGAATAATATCTATGAAAATTCCCTTAGTTATAAGCTATAATATGGATGAGTAAATCTTGTCTTTCCCTTTTGATTTTACAGCTTGCACGTGCAGTGGTCATGCAAATATTTGTCACATGCAAACAGGAAAATGTTTCTGTACAACTAAAGGAATCAAAGGAGACCAATGTCAACTGTGAGTACAATTAAATGTACCCTTACATTATTTTAATTTATGCCTAGTGGATAATCCTTTTCTCTGCCCCCCCCCCTTTTTTTTTTTTAATTTTATGGCTGACCTGTGTGATGTTTCACTGCTGAATCTGGTGTCTCCTACATTTCTTAGGAAAGTTCAATATTATTTAGTCTTATCTTAAAGAATCACATTTTAAATATTAATATCATTTCATAATGACTACAACTTTCAGAAATATCCTGTAAAAGGAAGTAGCTGGAGAATTACCTGTGGTGGTCTTTATCTGCTTTTTAGGATTGCAAGTTCAAAAATATCTGCAAAGTTGGGAATTAGTGGGTATATATGTCACATACGTTAGGTCAGAGACTACAACACTTAGATTTTTAGAGCTTTGGAAACATGTTAAGGTGGACGGTGTTTGAGACATTTGTCCACGTAATTAAATATTGAACTGAGGAGTGTATAGGCCTGTAGTCTCAGAAAGTACAGTTAGTGAATCTTGTTTTACACTAGAGTAGTGTATTCTTGACCAGGCCTTTAATATTAAAAGTGGTGATACTTTAACTGGGCTGTGAGGCATGCTGAAATAAACTATAAATTATACTAACTATTTTTTTTGCTAGATTCAAATTCTCCATTCTTCAAAAAGGAGAAATTCCTAAAGGGGAGACTAGATAGATTATAATTTGCAAAAATTACAGGCTGTAGAAATTTAAAGAGTGAATGCTAAAAACAAATGATTCCATAATTCTAATCAGGAGAGATTCAGTTATGATTCCTTGTATTCCTATTTTTAACTTTATAAAATATAGAAATTTATGCCATTGATCATCTTCTGCATTTTTTTTTGAAGGAAAATAGATGCAGAAGGCCAATGTGAAATTAAGCTTTTGTTCTTTTCCAGAAAGGTTCTTTCCTTCTTTTTTCTTTCTCTTCTTTCCCTCTCTTATTGTCTTCTACTCCTTTATTATATGATGAATTGTATGATTTTCTTCTGGCAGGACAAAATAGCAGAAAATAATAGCATGTTATGTCTCCTTAGGACAATGTTTTTATTTGTCTTAGATAACCCTTGCTCTAGGCGTTGAGCTCTATAAATAATAGATAATAAAAAATGTCTTTTCTCAAAAGGTATCATCTACCCTTTAAGAACATGAAATATATGCAAAGAAAAAATACAATAATTTTATCTACTGATTCATTTTTCTTCTATTTGATATCCACACTGTATCTGTTGTTGTTAAAAAAGTGTTATCTATTGTTATGAAATCCCAAGAGTGGGATTCATCCAACCAAATTCAGAAGTTCAAAAAGTAACTGGTTATCTGAATTACTTTCCCATTCCCAGTTTATATAGTCAATCCTTCCAGGGCTTGATTCATCTCATCCTCCAGCAGAGGCATACAGTAGTTCAGATGTGTTGTACCTGCAGGTTCACATGTCTGCTTTATAAAGGAGGCCTGGGATGGTGAGCTCAGCTGTAGATGTATATGCTGCTGATGTCTAAATCTTTTGACATCTGATTGACATCTTACAACTTACTAATATTCCAAGTTCACGACACAGCTTATTTTTTCTGCATATCTAACACTGTAAATACAAAATACTGGGAAACCTGCTAGAAAGGCTAATGCTTATGTTGCGCCGGTTATGGTATTCCATTTGTTCATTTGCTTTCTTCTGTCAGTTCCTGCATGATTTTCACAATCAAGTCTATGGCTAGAAGTCTTTCAAAAGAATCAAAATCTTTCATTCTTTGCTTAAAGACACTACTGGGTTTGGCTTGTTTCGTTGGGAGCCGGTCCTTACACAATTCATAGAGTGCTGAGATATAATCTTGATAGCTGAAGACCGATATATTTCAGGAGATAAAAATGGATCTTTCTTTAAAAAGAGAGTCCACCTATGAAAATATAGCAGTCTTTTTCCTGGAGAAAAGCATCTTCAGCATTATTGGTTATTAAATATTATCTCAGCAGTAGAAGCTTCAGGGACCACAGCTAGAATTGCCTTTTCAAATAGAAGCAAAAGTCTTTATCAGTGGAGGAGCTTGTAACTTAAGCTGAGATGGAGCATAACGAACAGGAAGATGAAAAACAAGGAAACAGTGGAAGAGAAGTGCTTTTTCTAGTAGGAGAATTAACAGTCTAAAATTCAACTATGAATAGTCTTGTATTTAAAGATACCCCTTTTCGTTCATACCCTCCTGTACACTGCGTCCTCTGATAGGAACCTTCTTCCTTTCAGGATTATAGTTATTTTAAATAGTAACCAGACCCAAAATTATCTTAGCAATATCGATTGATTTCAACTGGAGAAAAGGCATAAATATAACTTACCCCTCGCTAGCAGGAAGAGGCCAAAAGGCTAATTAGCCTGATACAAGGCATATTCTTTGACTGACTGTATATGCAGATTCATCATTAATAGGAAAACATTGATGTGCTTAATGAACTGGCTTGAATCCTACCCTTAAGGCCTTGCTTGATAAGTAGAGACAAGCAACAAAAATATCTGGTGCAGTGTCTAGGTATATGTTATTTTTCATATTCACATGCAAAAACTATGCCCACAGGTATGCTGTTTCAATAGGATCTCTGGGTCCTTTTGTCTAGCTAGTTGCTGACTCTCAGGATGAGACAGGAAGCAAAGACTGGCAGTAAATGTTGACTTTTTATCATGACAAAAGCCGAAGAGTGAGATTATCTTTAAGTTCCAAATTAAGTTTTCACTGGTAATCACAGTTACTTTTGCTCTTGTAGTGCCCAAACACTTAACCAGTTCTAGACGTTAATGGGTGGATGATTACCAGTGGATGGTAAGGGTATATGCTGATTTGATTTTGCCTGTTTATAAAGTTTACTCCCTTTACATCATAAGAATTAAACAACAGGAAGCAGATTCTTTGCTGATAATTCCAGTCCTCTATCAATTACCATTCAGCCCTTAGACACACTGTAGGACTTCTTCTCTTGTCTATATTTACCATGCTTGTTTTGCTATTGCATTCTCTTCCTCTTGTGTCTGACTTATTCTTGTATCTGTGTCTTGTTTTCTCTGGTCTAATTTGAAATTTTTGTTGCGTACACCCAGTTACACTCCTCAGTCACATCAGTTTGCTGTCCTGTGTTTATGTCTGCCATAAAGAAGTGTTTTATCGCATTGAGTAAACAAGAGGAGAAAAGGTGGTACTGGTGGTGGATTTTCCTGTGTTGGTCAAGAGATACTTCCACAAGATGGGAAAATGGCAATTTTAATTTTGACTTTTCCAGAATAAAATTAAAATTGAAGCTTCAGATTGAAAGTCTGTGATTTTGTCTCATGTAATACGTTCCTCTTTCTAGATTTTTACGTAGACCAAATGCTTTTCCAAGGCAAGCTGTGATATTAAAACATTTGATATGCCAAATGTTTTGTTTTGGATGAAATAAACTACGTAGAGTAGCAGTTTTCAAATTGTTTTTGACCATAACCACATTTCACATTATGAGCTTCACATCTGTTGAGTTCATAGACACAAATATTTGCATGCAAATTGACTTTCTGCTGTGAGTCCTTTCCTAACTCTGCATGGTCTTAGTTTGGAAGCCACTGTTCTTACATAAATAATTTAACAATTATGTATACACATACACTATATAGTTTATGACAAAACATCTAGAAAGAGACCAGTTCTAGTTATCTAGTTATAGACACTCTGAATGTATTGGGACACTATCTAGACTAAATTTCAGTACTAGAGACTCAGTTTGTTAAGGCTACTGGATTTCCTGAGGAAAGCGGATAATCACAGGAGAGTTTTGCAGAGAAGCCATTTAGAATTTTAGTACATACCATCAAACATCATACTTTGGACTTGTCATTGTACTCTGATGCTTAGTTTGGGAGAGTGATCCATTTCAGTCAAATGTTGCACTTGGAATACTTCCCTTGGAATATGAGGACATGAAGAATATCAAAAATAGGTCACTCCTGAGTCACTGAATCCAGGCGCTATTTCCATCTAATTTATAAACTTCGAATGTTAATTTGCTGAAATTCTTATTATATTTAAAAAATACTAAACTATTTTCTCTGTAAAAATTATCCTTTCATTCAAAACCTGTTTTGAACATGTCATAATGTATTGTCCAAGTTCATACATAGCTGTTATCTAGACAATAAGCATTATTGTAAATTGGCTAAATGCTTTACTTAAAATGTTTTACTTTATTACGTTCTGCATAAATCATCTGGAGCTTGATTCAAACAAAGTGTGAATACTCTTCTCCATAGCTCTTAATAAAAATTGTTTTTGCCACTCATTGGATAGGCTGTTGTGCACTCTCAGCAGCAAATCTATAACCCTGTGATTTCTACAATAAGGATTTCCACGAAAATTTCAAACTCTAGCTGTTCAGTATGAAAGTTAGATTTATATTCCTGTCAAGAATCCTATTGATTAGAAAGTCGTAGCTGCAGGGCTGTATGTTATTCCTCCCTCCGTCCCTCCCTCTCATGCCAGTGCAAACCATGCCTTGGGGGCAGAGGCTTTAGGAAATCAAGTAGACCTTATAACACACATTTTTTTCAAAGTGAGAGCTGTAACAATCAGCTAGAGAGAATGAGGGAGAGTGAGAGAGAGAATAAGTAGTTTCTCCTCTTGGGACATGCATGCTTTCTTCCTCACTAAGACTGTTTTCTTTTTTTCCTAGCTTAAAAACAACTAATGTTGTTTGTGCATTATTGGAGGTTGATTGTGAGTGTGTAGCGAGTTTTTTGTTTGTTTTGTTTTTGGGTGTTTTTAGGTATGCCAGTCTCACAGCTGCCTTTGTGAATTGTGCTGTTGCATACCACAAAGCACAATGCAGAGTGGCACTTCAAATTGCAATTAATGTTCTAAGGCAGTTTTAGTAAGGATAAATGTTTTTTTATAATGTATTTTAAATGAAGTATGTTAAAAAAAATTGAAAAAATAAGTATTTTTATTTACCTTTAAGTAGGTAGTTTCCATCAGTGAA